TTTTTTTTTTTTTTTTTGTGTTCTGGTTGCATGCATTACGAAAATAACGGAACATAATCTGTTTTATTTTGGTAACATAAAGTCACACATAAACACAATTAATACATATGTATTTCGTATGAATGCTATTATCTATCCCTTAATTGTAGGAATGTAAACAATACCGCTGCACCCCCCGTCTATTTTTCCCGCATGAAGTTATTCCATGACGTGTCAATCCAACTCATCATTTTCTCCTTATTATTGGGGCAAAAAAAAAACCGAATTATGTTAATTAAAAACAACTCTTATTCAAAGGGCTTATTCTAACCTACTTCCGCCGTAAACTTTTTCTCCAAAGCCTACAGATTTTTTTTATCTTCCACCCACAACTTTCATAGCTTTATTTTACTTTGCAATTAAGGTATGTTTATGGTATTTGTAATTTGTAGTTCAATATTACTACTTTTTTACTAGCTTATTTTTTTTTATTATATTAGTTTAGTTACAGGATTTGCAATATGTAAAAATTCTACACACTGGTGTTGTTGTTGACCTACCTATCACTTTATCTTATCATATTTGTTTTTTCCAACTTTTTTTAGATATTAGTTGAAAATATTATTGTTTCGAAATATATGTTAATTGTCACTATGTCTACTTGAACCTTTTAATATTAATATTTGGGTGTTTAATTGTATGTTGGAAATATTTAAATATTTTTTTATTTTAACATTCTATAATCTTTTACTTTTACAGAGAATGAATGAAAATGAGATTATTGAAGAACTCACATTGGGGATGGTTTTTAAATCTCAAGAAGAAGCATACTCATATTACTCTAATTATGGGATCCAGAAGGGGTTTGGTGTGATGAAAAGAAGCTCAAAACGAGGAGATGATGGTGTTGTTAGATACTTTACTTTTGCATGTGTTAAAAATGATCAGAAGAAAAAATCTACGAGAAAGACCTCATTTGTCTCCAAACTTTCAACAAAAACGGGTTGTCAAGCCAAGATAAGATTGACATTGTGTGATGATGGAAATATTCGTGTGACAACAATTCATCTTGATCATGACCATTTGTTAAGCCCCGGAAAAGCACGTCATTTTCGATGCAACAGAAAGATAGATGATCGCGTGAAAAGACGGCTCGAGATAAATGATGAAGCTGGGATTGGTGTGAGTAAGAACTATCATTCTCTTGTTGTTGAAGCTAACGGATATGAGAATGTTACCTTCAATGAGAAAGATTGTCGCAACCATATCGAGAAAGCAAGAAGAAGCAAGCTCGGTGTTGGAGATGCTGAAGCAGTTTGCACGTATTTTGCTCAAATGCAAGAAGTCGATAAAATTTTTTTCTATGTCATGGACATTGACGAGGAATCTCGTATTAGAAATTTGTTCTGGGCAGACGGGCGAAGTAGGGCTGCTTATGAAGCTTTTGGAGATGTGATCACGTTTGACACGACATACTTAACTAATAAGTATAAAATGCCTTTTGCTCCATTCGTCGGCGTGAATCATCATGGACAATCTGTATTGTTCGGTTGTGGGTTGTTGACTAATGAAGACACTGAATCATTTGTGTGGTTGTTCGAGTCGTGGCTAAAGTGCATGTCTGGATGTCGTCCTAAGGGTATTATCACTGATCAATGCAACGCTATGAAAAATGCTATTGAAATTGTTTTTGGTGATAGTACTCGCCATAGGTTGTGTTTATGGCATATAATGAAAAAAATTCCAGAAAAATTGAGTGGACATTCCAACTATGAGGGCATCAAGAATTTCATGCAAGCACTTGTTTATGATGCCCTGACTGAAGATGAGTTTGACAGTGGGTGGTTAATGATGATTGATGGCTATAATCTTCATGATAATGAATGGCTGCAGAGATTATATGCTGATAGAAAACGTTGGGTTCCAGCATATGTGAAAAGTTCATTCTGGGTGGGTATGTCGACCACACAACGGAGTGAAGGTATGAATGCTTTCTTTAAAGGCTTTGTTAATCATAAAACCACTTTGAAGCAATTTATTGCTTTGTATGAACAAGCCTTGAAAAGAAAGGTCGAGAAAGAGACTGTAGCAGATTATGAATCTTGGAATTCTCGATTTGATTGCTTGAGCAATTATGATATTGAAAAGCAATTTCAGAGTGCTTATACAAACGTGAAATTTAGAGAATTTCAAGATGAGTTGAGGGACAAATTTTATTGTCAACCTTCTTTAGTTAAGACTGAAAATTCCGTATGTGAGTATAAAGTCGAGGAAGATGTAAAAGTTGGCGACATCAGATGAGATGTTACTTTTACTGTCCATTTTGATGAATCTACTCTCGAAGTTAATTGTGTTTGTCGCTTGTTCGAGTTCAGAGGAATTCTTTGTAGACATACTTTATCGGTGCTAATTGCAAGAAAAATAAATGAAGTTCATCCTCGCTATATTTTTCCACGATGGAGAAAGGGCCTAAAGCGAAGATATACTTTAGTGAGAATCGGATACAATCCTTTGAGTCAGCAAATACAGCGATGTGAAAAAATGTGCAAGGCACTCCATGAGGTTGTCGTTATTGCTGCGGACGATGAAGAGAAATTTGAGTTGGTGATGAAAGGCATATGAGAATTAAAGTTAGAAGTCACCAATGACGAAAAAAAAGTTGTTCAAACATCTTCACAGCAACAAGATTTTGTTGAGCAACAGAAAGTGGTAGGTAGGACAAATAACGTATTGAGTCCTCTAGTCACTCGAGGGAAAGGGCGTCCTGCAACAAAAAGGAAAATTTCGAGATTGGAAGTTGTGGTTCAGAAGCTGAAAAAAAAGAATCAAAACAAGAAAGTTAAAGAGACCGAAGCAAATAGATCAAAATCCACAAAGGTATAAGTGAAAAATATTATTATATTTTTATTTAATAATGCATATAAATTAACATTCTTAAACATATTTTTTTATAGGCATCTGCAAAAATATTGGAAGTCAATAGCATGTTTGGTCCAAATCCTTTGAATGCTACATCCAGTAATCTTGTGGTATGGTACATTTAATTACATTTTTTTAATCTATTAAAAAATTGAATCATGATATTTCTTGTTTTTGTGTATAATTGATAGGTTAATCAAGTTCCAACTTTTGGAGAATATTACATGCCAAGGCCACCAGATTCATGCATTTACCCTAGAAATAGTTCAATTCAACTACACGAAAAGGTAAACTTCCAATAATTTGTTTTCATGGGCGTTGATGATTTTTAAGAGGCCTTACAAAATTCGTGAGACTTAACTGGAAAACATTTAGACAGTATCCAGTTTTGAATCTTTGAGGCATTTGGTGGGTTGATTGTATGAGATGTTTGGATCTTTTAGAATTTATCTTTTTTTTTTTTTTTTTCTTGTTGTTGGGCTTGTAATGTTGATATTTGAAGTACTAACAAGAAATGTTGGGTCAAATTGGTCTCCTGTGATATCAAATGAGTGGATATACTTGTTTCACCTTTAAAACAAAAAAATTATTACATGAAAACTGGTTTGTTTATTTTTAATCTGATAACAATTTGAAGCATGATATGTTCATTTGTTCATATATATTGAAAGGGTAATCCAATTCCAACTTTGGAGGGTATTACATGCCAAGGCCGCATGCTTCACCCATTTATCCCGAGAGTAGTTCCATTCAACTTCAAAAAAATGTATGTTCTATTATCATTTTTACGACGTACATTACTGAAAAAAGTTCAAATTATTGTAAAGTTAATATCTTAATGTTTTATAGGGTCTTTTTAATCCACTATGGGGTACAAGTTATGATATGGGGAATAACAACATACGGCAAGAAGATTTGACACAGGTTACTATATGTGTTACATATTTAATCTAATCAAATTGTTATCAAAATATTTGTATAACCCAAGTTTATTTACTTGGATTCTTAATTCTATGTCTTTTTTTTTTTTGTTACTTTTGCAGGAAAATCGATGCTTTGATTTAAATGAAGATCAATACTCTACTCCATGATCTATTAGTGAAGTTCAAGTTTTTTTGTAAGAGTTAAGCCAAGTTTTTGCTTTATTTTGTTTCCATCTGACTTGAGGATATTATTAATTCCATTATGTTTTGCTACTAAGGAAAATGTTTATCTTTTGAGAATATTGATATTTATACTTTATGTTTTTCACTTTTTAGATTATCAAGCTAATGAATGTTTTTGGTTGATTTTGGGATGTTCATAATTTGCTTCTTGAATATTTCTTATGTTTGCTTGTGTAAGCAGTAGCCTATAGTTCTGGTTAATTCCCATGATGTTTCAGCTATTGCTATCTTGTTTGCTTGTGCAGACAGTAGCCTATAGTGACTATTTAGCTTTATTACATTGTTTTTCATTTGTTCTACTTCTACATACATTTAACTTAAGAAAAAAATTGATGTTACAATTCATCCTCTATTCAGTCAAATACATTATAATATCCATGATCATACACATATTCTCTCATAAGACAACCAACAAACCACACTTAACCTAAGAGCCCATCACTTAACCTAAGAACCCATCAGTAAGAGCAGGACCCTACATTATATTTATAACAAAACCTTGCAACATAGAAAATAACATAAATAAATTCCACAATCTCCATCTTTAGAAATTCAAACTCAACCAACGGCTGCCTGGAATGCGCCAATATCTCATCAAAATGTGCATTCAGATATCGCAACGACTTCGAGTTATCGATCACAATCTTCTCTTTGGGGGGAGATAGAAAGCAAAATAAAAGCTTGAAACTCAAAATGTTGTGTGGCTAAATTGGGCAACAAATGCAATTCAATCTGGAAATCTGCAATTTGAGTTCAAAGCAGAAGGTCTAAAAAAACAATAATAATACTAATCAGTGAAAATACTAACATGATAGTGAATGTGCATAGACAGCAAGCAAGAAAATGTTAAATAACAGCAAATTGAGACATGAAGACCATAAAAGCACAGGGGTTAACTTAATTAGAAGAGAGCACTAAAACCTTTACATAAATTCATAAATGTTTGATCAAACCTTAGTGAATTAGATGTCCTAATTAATCATCACACACATGAAGCAAAAATATTTACAAGAGCGTACAATCGGATCTTGACCGGCAGCCGACGGGGGAAATGAACACGGGAAAAACGGGGAAAAAATGGCTTAAAATAAAGCACCATGCTTCACTCTCAAATCTATACTATCTTAAAAGAGCCAATGAATCTGTAAAAAATTGTTTTGCCTAAATTACCCTTATTTTGTCAAACTAATTTTATAATTAAATATTACTATTAATTTAAGTTTAGTAAGATAAATTAATTAATTTATTAAACATATGATTGTAGGAACAAAATAAAATGATGAACAAAATCGATCGAAACACAACAAAATCTCTGCCCAAAAAAAACCCGAAAATCGATCGACTTTTATTTCGGGTGGTGAAGAAGACATCGATTAATTAAGAAATTCGCAGATCCTTCCCAGATCCTTTTGCCGTATGCTCACGATTCCGGTTTCAATATTTTCTCCCCGAGTCGATTTTTACGAAATCGGTGGACTTCCTCGAGTCGACTGGAAAACACACCGGTGAATTTAGGGATCGGAGTTTCTTTTGCCGTGAAGAATTTTCCGGTCGGTTATTCGGCTGGTAAGGGGATTTAGATGAAATTGGGTACCTTTGGGATGATTTTGATTTCCCTTTATTGTTTCCTTAATTGTTTTGGATTTTGTATACAAATGGAGTCATGCAAATTGTTTATTCGGCTGGTAAGGGGATTTAGATAAAATTGGGTACCTTTGGGATGATTTTGATTTCCCTTTATTGTTTATTCAACTGGAGTCATGCAAATTGTTGTGAAATCTGATCGAGATGGAGTTATTATTTTCCCTATTCTGCTACAAATTGTTCATCATTAATAATGATGATTTATTAACAATTGTTTACATGTAATTTTTTTCTTCCCAT